GCGAGAATTTACTCTAATTCACTCGATACTATCCAATTAGTCTATCAAGAAGTTCACATTGATCACCCGTGTTTTGAGGACATGGATGAAGTACAGGACCTTATTACCAATCATAAAGATCTCAAGCTTCTTTATGCCCCCAGGGAGGCGATGGCTTGTGTTGACTTTTTGGCTAATATGGCTCATAATTCCATTAATGAAATGCTTGTAATAATTGATCCTTCTGGAGAGTGCGATCATCTTCTTCTGTTTGACTACAGTGGAGGGTTTGCGTTTATCTCACTGATTCATGAGTACTCAGCTTTTGCTTTTGTTCTTCTTCTAGCTTCAGCTAGCCCTTCCCAATGAGGGGAAAGAAAAACATCTGAATCGCATCAAACTAGATTAGTCCATAACGATAAAACTCAATTTGAAAAGTTCTGCAAGCATTTGCAATTCAAATTCAGATTTTTCTTTTTAGCAACAGTTCTGCATTGATGAAATTCTAGAAAGCAATGATAAAACCCAAAAGGGGGGAAAAGTTCTTCTTCAGGTCAATAACCAAATAATTTAAAGAAAAACCACAAGAATTATTTTCTTCATAAGTAAATGAACAAATTAACCCATAAACTATTGATTTAAAAACGTCTAAAACTCTAAATTCATCTTTTGCATGATATTCCCTTTCAACTTTTAAAAATGATCCAATTTAATTACTGCCATTAATAAAAGTTAAATTTGATCATTAGTTGAATAGAAAATGACCAAAAGACATTACAAATTACAATAAATGACCAAAAAATTATAAACAACAACTCAAAAAATTACAAAAAAGATTTATTTGATCCTTTTCTACAATATTTGTGATCATTTTCATTCATTTATGATTAACTAATGGTTAAACTTAACTTTTGTTAACGGTAGACTCATATTGCACCATTTTTAAAAGTTGAAGAGGAATATTACATAACAGATGAGTTTAAAGTTTCATATGCTTCTGGGGTGTCATATGCTTTATAGATCTAATGATTTTCACATTCAAGACAATCTAGGCTCAAAGTGAGAAATTCTTGGATGAACCCTACGTGTCATGTTATTCATGATCCATCCAATAAAAAACATGAAATTTAAACATCATTAAATATAAATTAATTATGACATTAATGATAATAGAGAAAGAAAATACATAAAATTAAATAGACATTCTATTATAAAAATAAAGTCATTAAAAATAATTACACATGAAATTTTATTTAATTGATTGATATAATTTTATTGGATGGACAATAAATGATGCAATGTATCAAATCCATCTATGAATTTCTCAAAGTGATAATCACTACAATGGAATTTAGATTGGAAAGAGAGAGAAAAAGAGGAGAAAAGAGAAAGGAAATGGAGAGAGAGATAGAGAGAAAATTTAAATATGCAATTCTCATCGGAAATCAAAGTTTGAAATTAGAGACTCTATTGCTCTTATTTATAATTTATCCATGTAAGAATATATAAGAGCAATAGAGTCTCTAATTTATCCATGGTTTCATTATTCTCATATGAATATATATTATAATTTATCCAAATCCTACTAATCCACTAATAATATAATTAAATATCAAATCATACCTAAACCCTATTTAAATCATAAATCATATCTAAATCTATTTAAATCCTAATTAATTTTTAATTATTTCTTATTTATTATAATAACATAACAATCACCTACCGTTTGTTCTTATTATCATTAAATCAAAATAAAATGTCAAAACCCCAACAAGTGACGAGTGATATTATTCATAAACAATACAACCCTTTTTCTAACACTCATGCAATGCAAAGTACTCACATCTAATCAACAACAACAACAAGCCTTTATCCCACTAGGTGGGGTCGGCTACATGGATTGCAAGACGCCATTGTGCTCTATCATTTATTAAGCTTTTAGAAATATTATTAATTAAGAGATCACGTTCAACAACTTCCAAGAGTGTTCTCTTAGGCCTTCCTCTACCTCTCTTAATCGGACTCAAAGTTATATGTTCCACTCTTCTCACTGGTGCCTCCCTTGGTCTTCTTTGTACATGCCCAAACCATCTCAACCGATTTTCTACCATTTTTTCCTCAATAGGTGCCACCCTCACTTTTTCACGTATGTGCTCATTTCGAATTTTATCTTTACGTGTATGTCCGCACATCCATCGTAACATTCTCATCTCTGCTACTCCAACTTTATGCTCTTGCTGTCCCGTTAGAGCCCAGCATTCACTACTATATAACATTGCCGGTCTGATAGCAGTACGATAAAACTTTCCTTTAAGTTTATTAGGCACCTTACGGTCACAAATAACTCCTTTAGCTTTTCTCCAATTAAACCACCCAGCTTGAATTCTATGTGAAATATCTCCACTGATTTCGCCATCATTTTGAATAATGGCTCCCAAATATCTAAACTTTTCCACTTGAGGTATAATTTGATCTCCCAATTTCACTTCCAAATTATTTTGAATAGTCCTTTATCAAATTTACAATATAAATATTCCGTCTTACTTCTACTCAGACGAAAACCTTTCGACTCCAATGTCCTCCTCCATAACTCAAGTTTGCAATTAACCTCTTCTCTTGTCTCTGCTATAAGAACTATATCATCCGCGAAGAGCATACATTTCGGGATTTCCTCTTGAATATGTTCCGTCAAAACATTTAAAATCAAGTTGAACAAATAAGGACTCAGAGATGATCCCTGATGTAGTCCAATCTTTATAGGAAAATCCTTTGTTTGACCACTAGGCGTTCTTATACTAGTTTTTACCCCCTCATACATATCTTGTATGGCTTTAATATAAGCAATCCGTACTCCCTTTTTTTCCAACGCTTTCCAAAGCACTTCTCTTGGTATACGGTCATAAGCTTTTTCCAAATCAATAAAAACCATGTGTAGATCTTTATCTTTACAACGATACTTTTCCATTAATCCCCTTAGTAGATAAATCGCCTCTGTAGTTGATCTACCTGGCATAAAACCAAATTGATTCTCAGAAATACTTGTCTCCAATCTCAACCTGTGCTCAATTACTTTCTCCCACAATTTCATTGTGTGGCTCATGAGTTTAATCCCTCTATAGTTAGTACAATTCTGAATATCTCCTTTATTTTTATAAATAGGAATTAATGTACTTCTCCTCCACTCATCAGGCATTTTCTTGGACCGTAAAATCACATTAAATAACTTAGTTAACCATCTCACCCCTTCTTCACCTAAACATTTCCACGCTTCGATAGATATACAATCAGGTCCGTTAGCTCTACCATTTGCCATTTTCTTAAGAGCTTCCTTTACCTCCTTATCACGTATTTTTCGATAGAATGACAAATTTTGTTCTCCTTCACCAGTTACTAAATCCTCCAAGTTACTAGATGAATCCTTCCATCATTGAAAAGTTTAGAAAAATAAGTCTCCCATCTATTTTTAATTTCATTATCTGTAACTAAAATTCTTCCCTCTTCATCCTTAATACACCTTACCTGTTCTAGATCTCTTGATTTTCTTTCCCTACTCTTGGCAATCTTATAAATATTTTGCTCTCCTTCCTTCGTCTCAAGGTTCTTATAAAATTCTTCAAAAGCTTTAGAACGAGCTTCACCCACAGCTCTCTTAGTTTCCTTCTTAGCCATACGGTACCTCTCCCAATTTTCCTCATTGTTACACAAATGTATGGCTTTAAAACAGTTCTTCTTATACTTGATTTTGTCCTGTACACTATTATTCCACCACCAAGACTCCTTATCTCTCGGACCAGAACCTTTCGATTCTCCCAAAACTACTTTTGCAACCTCCCGTATCTTTTTAGCCATATCCTCCCATATGATGTTAGCACTTCCCTGAGAATCCCAAATTCCTTTATCCAAAAGATTTCGCTTGAAAATATCTTGCTTCTCACCTTTTAATTGCCACCACCTAATCCTTGGTGTTACTACTTGTCGACGTTTTTGGATTTTACTCATAATACACACATCAAGGACTAGGACCCTATGTTGTGTCGTTACAGCATCTCCAGGGATCACCTTACAATTTTTACAAAGTTTTCTATCTGTGTTCCTAACCAAAAGAAAATCAATCTGCGACCTTGAGGCTCCACTTTTGTAGGTGATGAGATGCTCATCTCTCTTCTTGAAACAAGTGTTGGCAATCTTAAAATCATACGCCAATGAGAAATCAAGAAGAGTTTGCCCTTCATTGTTTAGCTCTCCAAAACCAAAACCACCATGCACCCTCGCATACTGACCAGCTTCCCTCCCGACATGCCCATTAAAGTCTCCTCCAATAAAAATCTTTTCACTCTGTGGTATGTGTCGAATCAACCCCTCCAGATCCTCCCAAAATAATTCCTTAAGACTGGCTTCTGTCCCGACTTGCGGCGCATAAGCGCTAACAATATTAACAGTCTCACGTCCAATTATCATTTTTAAAGAAATAATTCTGTCTCCAATTCTGCTAACTTCTACAACGTTCTTCTTCCACTCCTTATCTATAATGATGCCTACTCCATTGCGTGCACTTACTTTTCCTGTATACCAAAGTTTGAAACCTTGAATATCCTTAGCTTCTTCTCCACGCCATTTTGTTTCTTGCAAGCAAAGGATATTGATTTTCCTTTAAATCATAACCCCTACAACCTCTACAGATTTACAATTTAATGTCCCAACATTCCAAGTACCAAATCTAATTTTGCTCTTATGGACTAACTTCTTTAGCCGCGTGCGTCCAGAATGACGCGGTAGCCCTTGCTCATTTAACACTACATCCAGGCGCTGATGCAGCGGCTCTAACTCACTTATCACTGTACTCGAGCCATGCAGCGCGTTACTTACGGGCAACGACCTAGCATTAACATTATAACGTCTATTGTCCATGTTCATGATAGATTCAACAAATTTTTACATTGGCTGTTGATGGCCTAACACAACCCTCCTCCTTTACCCGGGCTTGGGACCGGCTATAAACATAGGTGGAGTTTACTCACATCTAATCTAATTATTATTAAATTTACCCATTTATTTGCTAGCCCCATCTGTTTCGTAGGATCGTTTATAAATTCATCCAACAAACTTATTCTATGCTACTTGAATCTAAATTATTCCATAGTACCAGATGTCAGATATGTCTCCATAAACATAATTCCTCATACGTCACCACAAGCATTACTTCAACTGTTGGCATAACCTGTCTTCTGTGTGAAAGCTTTTATGTCAAATGTATCATCACTTGTCTTGGTAATAACACCCTGATTACAGATACAGAACGTAAAGTGGTCAGATCAGAATGAAATGAAACCATGTAAGAATGAAAGGAGAGAAAAGGAAAAAGAAGTAAGAATACCCACAAGAAGATTTGGCAATGTTTGAATCTGATTTGGTAATACCGAATACCAAATAGTTCCATTAAAAAAAATACAAAATTCAGTCATGGTATGCATGTAAAATGATTACTAAAGACCTATAACTTGTAGTTTTGACCACTCAATGATAGTGGTAATGCTATTTATGTTATCATTTTTATAAGTATAATCTAATCTTTCTAACATTATAGTGATATGTTTATACAGAAGCAATAACAAATTCCAAATGTCTTTGGAACATTGTGGTTATAACTTCAGAGAATATAAATAACAACTACATAAAGCACCGGCTATAACTAATTCCAATGGTCTTTGAAAAGAATTCATATTCTTAAGGTCCTTGACCGTCAACATCATAGGTTGAGTCCGCAAGTGTTACTTTTCCATAGGGTATCTTTAATATTTCAGGCCTTGAATTAATCTTGCATGTGAATTAATCTCTCAAAGTTTACAACTTGCTGTAATTTAATCCGTCTATCAAACCAGCTTATATACTTATGCATTGTGAGCGATGACTTAATATACATGTTACAAATTCTAGATTGTGTAGAAGAATAAATCTAAAGAATAAAAGAGATGGAGGTATATATTCCATGGACAACTTTCTAAATTCACATAAAATTGCAAAAACATAAAGAGAGGAGAGGGTGAATGGGACCTTATCTGTGATGATACCAGAAATCAGACTAGCTGGAGTGACATCGAAAGCAGGATTCCACACAGAAATTCCTGGAGCAGCAACTACCTCTCCAAGCCCTCCACATGCATTTAACAGTTCCTTGGGCGATCTCTCCTCGATGACAATTTCTTGTCCAGAAGAAAGTAACAGATCAATGGAAGTCAAAGGAGCAGCCACATAAAAGGGTACATTATGGAACTTGGCACACAAGGCAACACTATAGGTTCCAATTTTGTTGGCTGTGTCACCTGCAATAAGAGTTGAAAGACAAAGATGTAATGATCGATCAGATGATAATTTAAACTCGTCAAACAAGAAAATAAGTAGTTCCATTAGATTTTTGAAGTACCATTTGATGCAACACGGTCTGCCCCAACAACAACAGCATCTACTCGTCCAGCTTTCATCAGTGCAGCTGCTGCAGAGTCTGCTATAAGAGTGGCAGGTATGCGTTCATGCACCAACTCATAGGCTGTAAGCCTAGAACCCTGCAATTAAAAAATACATCAAGCTAGCATAAAATTGAAGTCATCTAATTAACTGGTACAATTCATAAGATATAATTTCCAATCATTAACGAACGAAAAAGCTAAATACTAAAAAATTACTAAACATTAGAAATGTGTTCTCAAAACTATTTTGTTTAACCAATTCCACCATTGCCTTCAATCCCTGAAAAACACAATCAAAACATCTAAACTCTTTGTTCTTATAATAACAGCCATCATTAATATCAGAACAAGAGCTACATCTGCATGCTTATAACAACATTCTCTATTAGTGAACATTCGATATTCGGGGTTTACAAAATACCGTTTTCCTGTCCTTTTCATTTTCAAACAAAAAGCAAGGAAGCCATCCTAAACAACTAGAACTGAAGTACAGAAATGATGAACTCAACTGTAACAAGAATGCAAATTATCAGTAACGCAGGTGCTCTTTCTCCAAAATTCATGTTAAAAAATTAAACTTTTGAAACGGACCATCTACTAAAAGGATAGTTAACTATGTTGGTTTTGCTCTGTTTCAAATCCATGTCATTAATTCTGATCAAAGGGGAAAAAACACATACACTTCAGCATAATATCAGTGACTTAGTGGATACACCTTTTCTTACCAGAATTCAATGTCTAAATAAATTTTGAAAGGGAAAATAAAATAGTAACCTGATTGAAAGGGCGTGTTTCTGTGCAATAGGCCCTTTCTAAGACCCCTTCACTATGAAGTGCACGAACTACACCCAGAGCAGTACCATATCCAGCAGTGGCAAGACTGAGGAATAAAAACAAAACACAGTTGCAAGCTAGTTAAAACCCCTCACCTTGTGGAGCAATTCAATAAAAGTAGAGCTCATTGATTTGACCATAGTAACAACTACTAAGGGGAAGGCATTGCAGTAAGCACCTTCCAGTGTTGCAATGGGTCAAGACAGAAAGCTTTCTTTTCCCCATTTGTTGCTGAATAATACTAGCTCCAAAAGAACCAATTGCTCTATTCGAGGCAACATCTTCCTCAAGCATAATCTCAGCAGCTTCTATATATGCCTACAAAGTAATCCAGCAAATTAAGGATTCAGTGGCTATTGCCAAAACCCAAAATAAGTGTTAAAAGGCACAAAATATGACCTCCTTTACTTGACAGACTTTCTTTATTACCATGAGAACAAAATACCTGAAAAACACTCTTGGCCTCCGTAGTAGAAGCAACAGCCTTAGATATAACTTCTTTGAGTTTGGTTACAGCATCTGAAAGGTTCACTGCAGTTGGCCGACTAAAGAATGAAATAACAAATCAGCTAGGACTCATCTGCTTGAAATAAATTTCACGTTGACATCTACAACTGCTCAAGGAGAGTGTTAGCATTAAAATGCCAAATGCTAGTTAGTTATCTAATCAGGCAATAAAATTAAAATTTCAAAATCTAACTTTAGAAACAAGCATTTTACTGTCTCAATCCAATGTAGAGGATTGTAAATACCTCGAGACAAGATAATCTAATTTCTCTCCAAGGAAGGAAGCCGCGTCACCAGGCGACCCATTAAATGCCTCTAGATTGAAAACTTCAACAGCCAAAGAAAGTGCTGCTGCAATAGCAATAGCGGGTGCTCCACGGACCACCATATCCTTTATGGCATTCCTGATAAGGTTTTGAACATTCAGATGTTTGGACTTTGGAACCACTGACTTAGACAATAAAGACATAATCCAAAGGCCACTTTTTAAATATATAACCGAGAAGAAAAATAATTTCAACTAAAGGAACCGTTACTATGCCTACTCTGACAATTGATTGTAAAGAATAAGCAACATAAAAGGATACTGTTGTAAGCAGGGAACTAGGGAACCGAGTCAGGTTGGCTAAAATATACTCAAAGAGAATATATGGGTAATAATAATTTGTTACTTCTTATTGTACTATACCGACAAGTATCACATAGAAAATTCAAGATTTCAAGCAAAACTAAGCACGGGACATGGTATATAAAAATTTCTTCAGTTTGAACAGAACTACAGTATTTACCAGCCATCTGTTGAATTCTGGATGTCCAAGTAAATTGATTCTAGAGGGAGCTTTCTCTGCGTCACAATTATCAGCAATAAGGAAAATAAACCAAATGTAAGAACAAGTAAATGCTGTAACAAAAAGAATGCTAGAGGAAAAAAAATCTAACAAAACACAACCTTTTCATGACAAAATACTAGAACATGGCTCTAAAAAATTACAATTAATTACCCCTTAACATTCTGTAAAGTTTATGGAGACAATGTGTGCCAATTTGTGCTGTGATTCTGTGTGTATGATTTCAACCTTCAAAGAGCTCATCCCGGGTTTCATAAAATTTAAAATATAGGCACTAATCAGTCACACTCAATAACCCAAAGCTCGCTAGAGGGTCTCCAGCCAACTCAATTCTCTCACATGCACCACAGCGTTTAGCCATTCACTGGCAGCAAATTAATTTCAATGGAACACAATAACGTTTCTTAACCTTTCCCCAATAACTCAAATAATTTAAAGCTCAATAGCTTCAACAAACATACGAAATTCTCTAGTTTCCCATTTCCAAGGAGCAGCATAACATGGTGAAATCAAGATATATATATATATATATATTTAAAAAAGGCATGAAATTAGATAGATAACTAGGCAGAGATTAAAATGAGCAGAAAGGGGAAGAGACCTGATCAAGAAGCTGAAGCGAACCACGCTTGTAGCATATAGACTTGAGGGTGTTATCAGATGCAGGACCATTCGAAGCAGATGCCATAGGTTTAGCGTGCAAGAGAAACGACGAAAAACCAAGAACAGCAAGGTAACAGTTCGACCGTATTGGAGTGTAGAAGCTCGGCAGCCACAAGACAGATTTGAAGGGCTTCTTACAGCATATCAACTATTTCAGTGTCTGTGATGAGCCACAGTCGTTAAGCTTTCCGAATTCTGATGCCAAGGAGGACCGCGTGCAATGAACCTGGCCAAACATGATTCGCATGGGAATCATGATTTAAAAAATAATAATAATTAAAAGTTATAAAGGCATATGGGGTGTTCGTTACACAGTCTTCACAAGGTTTGATTTGATTTTAGATAAAAATTAGATAAGACCAAATCAATTAGTTTGAGCATTAGTGGAATTAGATCAGTTTCAATTGAAATTGGTTTGATTCTGTAACATCTTAAATTTTAATTCAAAAAACTAATTACTAATCAAGGGTAAATTAGTAATTAGTGAATTGATCATAGTTGGGATGTTAAGTTGATTTTTGGTATTAATTGATTGTTATGTTAATAAGATTGAAGGGTAGAACGGTAATTTGAGATGAAACGCGTAAGCATAAGTAAGACTGAATTTATTGTGCCACACATTGCTGCAAAAGCTGGATGTGCCACAGCGCATTATACAGAAATTGCTTAAAGTTGATGTGATCAGCTCATGAAATTAGAATAGAAAGTGAAGGAAAATGCAAAGAGGATAAGAAGTTCTTATTTGCTAGGGCTTGCATTATCTGGTGATTGGGAGTTTGTTTCAACTAGTGACTTGTCGAGTAAGTATTGTACAACCTTAAGCTTCATTTCTACCCTATTTTTATTGAACTTGATTAGTCGAGAAATTGAATCAGGAAGTTTTAAGGTGTTGAGATTTAAAAGAAATGTTTAAAACAGGCTTTCGAATGCGAAACTAAAGTTCTGTGACTAGTCTGGAGTTAAATGGTTGACCCTTGAGGATTTAGGCTCAATTAGCCTAAAGAGTTAGGTTAAAAATGGTGAAGTTAGGTGAATAAATGAGTTATGAGGTTGTTATGGTCATTTAAATAGCTTATAGGGCTAATAACTGTAGATAGTGAACTTATGAATTCGGAAGGTGTTAATTAAACCGTTTTGTGTGTTAGGGAATTCGATTTAGCCGAATCAATACCGATGTTGAGTATTAAGAACTGATTAAGGGACATTGCATTGTGTAGATTGAGCATCTATGACATTGCTTGTGGGAATCTACACTCTCGGGAATTCAATACGATTAGTAACCCACTAGTAAGGGTAAAAAGTAACTGAAGTAATTCTTTTACTCGTTCTTTTGTGAAATTGTTTACAAGTATTTTGTGTAACTATATGCATTATGATTTATGAACTGATAGAGTAGCAATATTGTGAAAGGAATATGCATGCGAGTGTGTGAGTAATGTATGAGATCAATGTAAACAGACATGTGCATAGACATGTGCATTACATTTGCGAGTATACCCTAGACTAGGGTAGGGGTCATAGCCTTACTCTGTGCAAGTCTAGGTAGTTCTAAAGGTCTTGAGCATAAAGCTGACTCCTCCAGGAAGCACTTAGGAGATCTTGAAGGTTTCAAGCATAGAGTTTGACTCTGCCATAATGGACCTAGGATAATGATCCACAAATGTTCCCTAAAGTAGGATAAGGGGTCATAGTCCTACTCTGTGTAAGGCTAGAAAGTCCCAAAGGTCTTGAGTGCAGAGTTTGACTCCACTAGGAAGGACCTAGGAGACTACTCATATGCGAAGAGGATACCTGGTTTGAACAAAGATATGGTAAGCCTTGTTTCGTGTAAGACTGGAAGTCTTAATCCGAGTGTAGAGCTAGCTCCACTAGGTGGAACTGGGGGTGCATGAGCATGAGCATGATGGATGATGTGTATGAATCCTTGTATATGCATATGATATTATTTTTACTGAAGCACATGCTACTTTATCTCTTGTTTATAATTTTGCTTACTAACTAGTATTTGGATTATATCTAAGTTACTCGGATGTATCTCTCGCTCTGTTACCTTTGTATACAGGTGAAGAGAGCACGAGAAAGCCGAGAAAGAAAGTAAGGAAAGAGTAGCTTCACTTGGTAGTGGTATGACTACCGCTGTAAATAATGAATGTATAATGTTTTGATATAATTCAAGTTGCCAACTAAGATGCATAAGTATATATGAAATGAATATGTGAATGTGTATATGAATTGTATTATAAAAACTTGCTTGTGCGTATGATTTTGCATCTCACCGAGGGTACTATAGTAGTGGGTACGTGGGTAGGCCTAGATGCCAAACAAGCAAGTATATATTATTATATAACTTGTTTCACTTGTATATATATGAGTTGTTACATGACATTATGAATATATGTGAGAACTTGACACAAATGGTGAGGTTGAGCCTTATTTGGAAGAGTCGAGTATATTTGTGATTCCCAACCATATAGTGAGGCATATGAGAGTTGGATAGTTAAAAGTAAAATAAGTCTATGTGTATATGTAATTGTTATGTATTCCTCATATAAGCCCATAATTGTGTAATGTAATATCTTCAATTTTAAATCGGATTAATTAAGCCTGAATTAGATTAATTAAGTGTATTAGCAAGGTATGGCTAGAGAGGCCTAACGGGTGTGTTTGGTTTTAATTCTAGCCCTAGAAGCAGGTTCAAAAGAGAATCAAGTCACCCGAGAATGAGAAGAGGAAGAAATCTGAAGGACAAGGTTCTGTGCCATGTGCCACAGCTTGTGGATCTAGCCACTGCGGTGTGTGTGTCCTGAAACACCTAAAGGGATGCTCTCTGTGCCATGCGCTACAGCGCATTGTGCGTCTGCCGCAGTGCATGGACACTTTTCTACAGAAATAAGTCTATTCTGCAGCTTGTGAAAATAAGAAGAATGGAAGAGATTCGAGAGAGCATCTAAAGGGCTATGATAGGGCTTGAGAAAATTGACTATTGGGAGTATTTTAGAGCTCATAAACATCAAAAGTAAGCTTTCTACACTCAAGTCTCCTTAGCTTCTTCCATTTTCTTAGTAGTGGAAGTTAGAGTTTGGTTGATAATGATAATTTTTGATCCATTAAGGCTATGTGTTTGAACCCATTGACTTAAGCAGAGTTAATGGGAGTAGATTGAGATAATAAAACTTGGTATTTATGGGTTTATCTTGATTAGTGGTTGAGAAGTAATAAATATGTGAAATTCCCATAAATAGGTTAGTTGGGGACAATGTGGTCCCATTAATGCCATTTAAGAGCTCAATGATGTTAATGAGGGTTAAAGGAAGCCAAAAAATTTTGTGGATATTTTTATACAAGTAGAAAATGAATCTTGAGTATGAAAAAGTGTTGAGTTCTTAGTGAAAAATTAGCTAAAAGTGGATATTAATGAACTTCATTGTGATTGCTTATAGAGTGACTACCTTTGGCACCATTCAAGTTTCTTAGAAGCTTCATGAGTGAGTATTTGAGGGGTAAAACCTTTGACCTTTCAAAGGTTTGAGGTAACTAGGAGAATTCTACCTTATGCTTTTGTATGTTAATTATTTTATTGATTGATAATTAATCATTGAAATGTGTAAAATAAAATGAAATGCAAGTGTGGCATGAATTGTTTGAGAATCCACTAGGTTGATTTTTGAGAGTTTGATGACTTGTTATATGAAATTCTTTGAAACATTATTAGTGGATTTTTGTATTGTGATTTATTGAGAATTCAATGATTGATTGTTATGAGAGTTCAATGATTTTGTGTTTGGTTGAGTATGATGATTACTTGTTAATAAAGTTCTATGAGTATATCTGTTTATGAGGAGTTCAACATTGTGTAAAATAATGGAGTTCAATGGTATGGTTACATAGAATTCAATGATCTATTTGCTTGTATTATTGTGATCATTATGAATATGGTTGGGTACAACAATGAGGTGATGTATGATTGATCATTGAGTAATTTCATGCTTAAAATTGTACATATCTATGCATCACATGATCTTGAGAGGTGGGAGTTCGCCTAGGCAGAGGAGTAGAGATTTAAATCCACTTGGCAGGGCTTCCATCCGAGTTGATGGCTTGCTTGGATTGTTTATATATATATATATATATATATTATCCCACTTGTTCAACAAGGGACTGTCCCACTAGTTTAACAAGGGATTTAAACCTAACTAGCTATCCACTGGTTCAATGAGGAAGCTAGTCTAGGGAGAATGACACCCCATAATATGAGAAAATGGGAGAAACTGTGTTCCACAAGTGAGATGGAAAAACCTTGGTCGGGTAACCTCTCATATGTGTTTAGGCTAGAGAAGTTTTAGATTATAGACTATTCTAATGTCTTATAGTCCATGGTTTCATGTCAGAGGAATAATGAGGATATAAGGAAGGTGTGATCATGCATATATGAGATAGGGCACATGGTTGCTACATTGTCACCCTAGTGAAATAATATATATGAAAGCTTTGTTCTTTATGAAGTAGCACTTGTTTGATTATTACCTTATGAGTTGTATCATTGTGAAATGAAAATGAGGTTGTAAACTCTTGAAACACGTTTTATGACTTGTTCTTAATCACTATGTCATGTGTGTGTATTGATGAGAACTATATAGTTGAGTTATGCTTTTAGACATATTCATGTTTTGGAATTGATTAATAACTTACCACGTGCATTTAAATTAATTGACATATATTAGTATGAGATAGTTGGACCTTGGTTACTGAGTGGTTGTACTCACCTCTTTATCTTCAATACTACAAGAAATAGCTCAAGAGGATCAGATAGAGGAGAACAAATAGAGGTGTAGGACTGTAATCGTATTTACTAGGCCTCTCTTTTTGAGTATTTATGTGTATACAATGATTGAAATTGCCAACTAGGAATAGTCCATTTCTACTTCTTACTTGCATTATGTATTTTGTGAGTTATAAGTGTATTTTGGACCCTAAGATGTGTGTTTGTGATTTATGTCATTGATAGCAAGGCTAAAATACTAGTGCAAGTGAGAGTTGGGTATAACTTGAGTGGTTCATAGATCATTTGATAAAATAGGAAATTTTAGCTCCCCTTCTTGTTTTTGAAATTTAGGGGTTAAGCGTAAAAAATATGATTTATATGTATTAAATGCAAGATGATGCATTGCATAATTCCGCCTTAATCTATGGGATGTAGTTGAAATGGTATTTATGGCTTTTGGCTTG